GGGGTGTGCAGCTGCTGCCTTATCTCCCCGCATTCCGTTTCTCCATCTGTCTGGCTGCTGGCCAGGGCGCCGTGTGAGGAGTGAGGGATGTGCCTGGTTTGGCATCTGCTGCCCCACGTGAAGCGTGTGTACACTCTGTGTGTGTGTGGGGTGGGAGCCACGCTGATAAACGAGTTACAGAGAGGAGGAGAAGGGGCAGAGAAGAGAGGGAAGAATCCCTCTCCAGTGGATGAGTCAGCGCATCCCAAGATAGATGTCTGCAGAGGAGGCACCAACTTTGACTGACTCCAGCCTCAGCTGAGCTGTGCTGATTCCCTGCTGTAGTGTGGAGGTGGGATGCCTTCTTGGCTGCTGGAAAGCTGGAAAGGATGGTGGTATGTTAAATTTATGATGTTTTTCTCCCATTTTATCTCAGAAGCAACCCCCTTTTCGTGATGAGGGTGAGTTGGAAGAGAGTTGGGCTGTGGGAGGAGAGCATAGCACACTTGAAGAGAACAAAAGAGAAAAAATCTGTCCTGCTTCAGTCACTCAGAGCTCAACTTCAAGGAGCCAGAGCTGATTTCCCAGCAGCCAGATCTGCTGCAAAGTGGGATCAGAGGAGAAAACCAAATCCTTCGAGCATATGAGGCTGCGACCCAGGGAAAAAACAAGGAGATGCTTTCTCTCTTCAGTGAAGAAATTCAGGGAGAATTTCTTCACTGAGAGGTTGGTCAGGCACTGGAAGGGGCTGCCCAGGGAGATGGTGGAATCACTGTCCCTGGAGGTATTTAAGGGAAGCCTGGATGTGGCACTCAGTGCTCTGAACTTGGTGACAAGATGGGTGTCGGTCACAGGTTGGACTCGATGTTCTTGGAGGCCTTTTCCAACCTTAACAATTCTGTAATTCTGTGATTCCTGTGGCTTCTTAATCATGGGACATCCAAGACAAGCAGCTGTGCTGGTGATCAGGGTTTCAAGGCTCCCTTCTCTGCTCTGTGCAGACAGTGTGATGACGGTGTCTGGTTTTGCCAAGCAGGGATCTGTGTCAGGGCAATCCTGCTTTGCCCCTTCACTCCTCTGCTTCCATCAGCCACCAGCAATCCAGCCTTTAATACAAGGCTCATGTTCCAAAGACACTAAATTTAGCGATTGTTTACTAAGAGGTGCTTAAAATTAGCAGCAAAGGCCACCCTGAGCATGTGACAAGGGGAGGTGGTGTCACCACGGGGCTCTGTGACCCCCCCACCTGCTCCCTCTTCTCCAAGACTCGCTCCAGCCGTGTCCACCAAGAGCTCAGCAGTAGGATGAAGGTGGGTGGAAAGCAGGTGTGTGGGTGCTGGAAAGGTAAGAGGCATCTAATTGTTCAGAATTAATTAGGGAGAGCTCCCCTGGCTGAGTGGGGAAGGCAGCAGGTGGGTATCTGAAGCCTCATGGGTGATGGTACCACAGGGGAATGGGCCCATCTGTCCCTGGCTGCCCCTCTCCTGGGAGACCCAGGAAAAATGGTTAGGAAAATTTTATTAGGAAAACTATTAGGAAAAACTTTCCTCATGGAAAGGGCTGTCCAGCCCTGGCACAGCTGCCCAAGGCAGTGATAGAATCGCCTTCCCTGGAGGGATTTAAAAGCCGTGTGGATGTGGCACTTGGGGACGTGGGTTGGCAGTGCTGGGGAAACGGTTGGACTGGGTGATCTCAGAGTTTTCCAACCTAAATTCTGTGATTCTGTGACCCTTGACCTCAGCAGCAAGAAATGCTTTATAAGGAGGTTGTTTGAAAAGCTGAAGTGAGAGCTCAAAGCTTCTCTTGCACGAGGAGGGTGGTGGAACTGTGGGGCAGGTCCTGGCTTCTGCCTTATCCCTCCTGGCACAAATTGTTACCTACCCGGGGTGAGCAGAGACCCTTTAGTCTCTAACTAACCCGCTATAGTTAGTCAACAGAATCACGGAATTAAGGCTGGAAAAGAGCTCTGAGCTCATCCCAGCCAAGCAGTTAAGCCTGAGCTGGTGGCCTGTAGTTGTCTGTGCTGCCCCACACAGTGAGGACCATCCAGACTCATGTTCACCAGCATGTTTAAGGCTCCCAGCATGATTTTCTGTGGATGTTTGCAGTGTTAATCCCTTCCCCCTTGCCCTACAGGACCTGTCCAGGACCAATGCTGGGCTCCAAACTGTGCAAATGGGCACAAGCCAGGCTGTACCAGGGGGTGCTGATTATACAGCAGTTTACAGGATGGAGCTTGGTGCCCAGGAAATTTCCCTGGTGCTAATTTATTTGCCAGTAGGAAACACATACCCAAAGCAGAAAAGGAGACTCGACTCCCTGGGAGATTCTGAGACGTGTAGGAATGGCAGCAGATTGTGATGTGCCTCTGAGCCAGACATATCATTACCCTGATTTTGCTGCTGCTGAGGGCTCCCTGCAGCCTTCATCTCTTCTTTCTTAGCCCAAACATCCCTTCTTGTGAGTTTTTTTCCCCTGTGTGGAGGTGCAGAGCTGGAAAATAGAAGGAAAAAGCCCCAATGGGATAAGAGTTGCAGCGTTCTGTTGGGTACGTTCAGGACTGATCTGCCTGAAGGTCAGGACATTAATGGTCATCATAGAATCCTAGAATGGTTTGGGTTGGAAGGGACCTTCAAGACCACTTTTTTCCAACCCCCTGCCATGAGCAGGGACACCTTCCACTGTCCCAGGTTGCTCCAAGCCCTGTGCAACCTGGCCTTGGACACTTCCAGGGATGGGGCAGCCACAGCTTCTCTGGGCAACCTGTGCCAGGGCCTCACCACCCTCACAGCTAAGAATTCCTTCCCAGTATCCCATCTATCCCTGCCCTCTGTCAGTGTGAAGCCATTTCCCCTTGTCCTGTCACTCCAGGCCCTTTTCCAAAGTCCCTCTCCAGCTCTCTTGTATTTTCTCTCAGTGCCTGTGGTCTTGCTTTGCCTCATCTGCACCTCTCAGCACATCAGACCAGTTCCTCCAGCTCCTCGGTGCTGTGGGGTGAAGCCCAGAGGCCCTGGGTGTCCAAACCAGGCTCAGAGTCACCTCGGGGTTATCACACGAGTGCCTGAAAGATGGACAAGCTCAGGGAAATAAAAGTGCCTGCAATGAGGGGATGCTGAAATTACGGGGGGTTCAGTGATGAAAAACGAGGGTCCTGGCTCTGCACTTGATGGGGTTGGATATTTTCTCCTGCTGGGGCCGTCCCTGGGGTGAGACCACTGACTGCTCCCTGCCACAGGGTCTGGGGGACCTTCTGCAGCCTGAACACGCAGTGGGGAAAGGTGATTTTGTGCTGCCACCTCGTGGCTTTAAAAACGTTCCCTAGAACTGTTAAAAATTGGACGCTGTAAGAAATATGTGCGAACTCACACACGTGTATGAGTGAAGTGAGAGCAGCGGGAGCCCAGAGGGGTGACACAGA